CAAATGCTAAGAGTGAGACGATACTCAATTCAGCTGAATATGAATGCAACAGGAAAAACCATTTTAATCTGATCCCTAAACTAACTTTTATTACAACATAATATATAATTAAATAATTTGTACCCTTGAATTAAAATAAAATTCAGTAAGGCTGACTAAAAAATAGCGTATGACACACGTAGTAAAATCTATTTTATTTTTCTCATAAAATTGTGCCACTCGGTCTACCAGTGTTGCAACGTTCGCAAAGAAAATTCCTTATTCCCCACTCGTATCATAAATAACTATTTTTAGTGCATTTTTTTCAAAATTCAATTTTTGTTCGGAATTGAGTCTTGAATTTCAGTTTTTCCCCTTCCCCCAGCAATTCCCTCGCATCTACACTGACCTGCCACCCCCCCACCCCAAAAAACCATCACCAACCCAGTCGACTACGCATCGCACATCGCCCATCGTCTTTAAGGCTAATCTCTTTGAGATTGAGCCAAGAAGCGAGCGAGGTGGGGCGCGAGGAGCGACGAAAGACTTCGTCTTCTCCCCTTGCACCATCTTCTTCCGTCGCTCGCGGAGGTCCACAATAAGCGCATTCTGGTGGCGGGGCGGCGCGCAATCGATAAATGTCAAGTGCGCGCTGGGCGGGTTGGGTCGGGAGGGAACGGGTGGGGGGAGAGTTGGGTGGGTCTCGTGGCTACGGCCATTCAAAGGAGGTACTTAGCTCCAGGGGCGCTGAATCTTTCCGCGTGGTTTGACATTTGAGAGGGGCTGCTTCTTTTGCGGGGGAAGAATCACGCCGCAACGACGTATTCCGACTATTTCGGGGGTGAATACGTGTTCGTATGCGTGGGATTTTGATTACGAAATTTTGCACTTCAATTTACATATTTGCTTGCGGTTTTGGCGACAGAATGGTAGTGGGTCGATGTAGGCCAATTTCAGTGGGTACGTTGTACGCCATGCCATATTCCGCCGGGTTAGTGTAGGACCGTGAATGAATACGTGTTAGTATACGTGGAATTTTGATTACGAAATTTTGCTCTACAATGTATTTATGCAAGCGGTTGTGATGACAATAGTGGTGTGTCGATTTAGGTCAATTTCAATAGGTAAGTTGAACGCCATATCATAGACTTCCTGGTTATGGTAGGGGCGTGGATGAATACGTGTTCGTATGCGTGGGATTTTGATTACGAAATTTTGCTCTTCAATTTATATATATGCTTGTGGTTTTGGGTGACAGAATATTAGATTAGGCGAATTTCAGTAAGTACGTTGAACGCCACGCCATAGTCTGCCTGATTATGGTAGGAGCGTGGGTGAATTTGTGTTCCTATGCATGGAATTTAGATTTCGACATTTTCCTTTTTAATGTATTTGTGCTAGCGGTTTTGGTGACAGAATAGTAGTGTGTCGATGTAGGCCGATATCAGTATGAAAGTTGTACGCCACGCCATAGTCCGCCTGGTTATGATAGGGCGTGGGTGAATACATGTTCGTATGCGTGGGATTTTGATTACGAAATTTTGCTCTTCAATGTATTTATGCTAGCGGTTTGGGGTGACAGAATAAGGTTGTGTCGATGTAGGCCGATATCAGTAGATAATTTGTACGCCACGCTATAGTCCGTCTGGTTATGGTAGGGGAGTTGGTGAATATGTGTTCGTATGCATGGAATTTAGATTTCGATATTTTGCTTTTTAATGTATTTTTGCTAGCTAGGTTTTGGGTGACAGAATATTGGTATAGGCCAATTTCAGTAGGTAAGTTGTACGCCATGCCATATTCAACCTGGTTATGGTAGTAAGCATGGGATTTAGATTACAAAATTCTGCTCTTTATTGTATGTACTTGCCGTTTTGATGACAGAATAATGGTGTGTCGATGTAGGCCGATTTTAGTTGGTAAGTTGTTTCAGTGGCAGGAATATTACGTATGTGTATGTATATATGAAATGTGTATTTTATTTTAGAATGATCATGTTGGATGTATGTATGAGTGTGTCTATATATGTAAACATGGTTGAATATGTGTTTGTATTCATGAGAATTTGGTTAGTAAATTTTGCTCTTTAATGTATTTATTCTTGCGGTTTTGATGGCAGAATAATGGTGTATCGATGTAAGCTGCTTTCAGCGGCAGGAATATTACGCGTGTGTATGTGTTACGTATTCATATATGTATAATGTATATACGTGACTAATATGTGTCACTTATATTTTCTTTTTATAATGATCGGGTTCGATGTATGTATGTTTGTGATTTTATTGCCAGAGTTATAGTATTTTGGGATATGCGGCTCTCAATGAGATTTTTGCCTATTTGTCTACGCCGCAAGTACTTTGTGTGAGTGTTCTTATTGTGTATGTATCTTTATTATGAGTTCAGAGCATGACACGTTTTATTAAATGGAAATTTCGATGCTTACATGTGTCTATACATGTTCATAGATCTGTATGTATTCTTTGATAAGGTAACTGCGACGTTCCACATGTACTATGTTTTGTATGTATTGCGTGAAAATGAATACATGTATATTTAATAAAATAATATTTATGTTCGACATATGTTTATATATGTCTTGATAAGAAAAAATCTTTGAAATATAAATTTGTGAATGAATCTATTTTTCCATAAAATTACCAGATCTTATGTATTTTCGAACATAACAGAATGTAATTTATGTGTGAATGAATTTTCTATGAGTATAAGTACACTTAATGAGAATATTAAAGCATTTCTGGTAATAAAGCAATGTGTTCATTCTCATATGTATGACAAATATTATGTAAATGCGTGTGAGTAGGTTGATTACGGACGTTTGCGAGTTATATCGCAAATGTATGTGTACTATACATCGACTATATATTCCCGAATTTAACAATAGCGTTCTACGTTTAAATATAGATTTTTCAACGAAAGAACATTTACAGACGAATATTTTTATGTATATTATTAATCCTATCAGTCTTTTAAGGTTTTGGATAGTATATTCGTGAATACAATATTTTAAAAAAGATAGCAACAATTCCCTCGGAACTTGCTACTAATATGAATCATTCAATGCCACGTAATAACTAGAACGAATGAAAATCAGCCGAGAAGCTACTAAATGTGTCATTTTATTATGGCAATGTGTGTGTGTGCAAGTACGCAATTTTTGTGTGTATTTTGTCAATATTTTTAAAGAACTCTTTCCAAAGAAAAATTCGGTCGATTTGCTTCAAATTATCTTTACGGCTCGTACATTGTAATTATGTTTCATTAAGTAATACTCTGTGTACTGTTGCTCTTCTACGTATCGAATCCGAGATTAATAGCAGCCACTCTCAAATGAAAAAAAGCACATGGAGATACATTACAAATTATCAATGTTCCCAAGCAGATGGTGATGAAAAGTAGTTTTGTCTCAAAACAAAGTTCCTGTTACTGAACACTATTTACAAAATATTCATGATCTGCAATTCATTTAATAACACACTGAAAATTATACGAATATTGCGTAGATCTACTTTTTAGCTGTACATACCTGTGTTATACTTTATCAGAAACAATTTGTAGAGAAAAACTATTTCAAAAGCACTATCTATTTTTATAGAAGTTATTATTTTCGCTAATAATCTATACTAAATTTGGATGTTTGTCAAATATTTTTATATCGTTATTCGGTATTTTTATGTTCCCTAATCTACTTTTCAGTTAAACTTTCTTGGGCCCTATTTCACAGTCTTGAAAGTTCAGTTACACCAAACAAGGGTGTCATTTGATCCATAATCTCTGTCCTAATTACCACACACAGGTCGCTAGGCTAACAACATCGATCACATTATTTTCATGGAGCATGACAGAGCAAACAAGCTTATAAGAAATTTTTAAAGAACTTTTCAGAAAAAAGGAAGCACACGTAATTGGTGTGAATTTCTGATTTGACGGCAAGGCACTGATATTCATCTCTGAAACTTTTACAACAAAAATTCAAATTTCAAAAAAGGCTCAATTTCATATTGAACCTCACTACTGCGATTTGTGAGGTTAGTAACACAAGCATGTGTCTGTATCATTATTTAAAAATTGATTTCCTTGAAATTATAGTGAAATTTGTTTTTAATATCATACCAAGAAACTACATAAGATCATTATTGCTACATTTTTACATTTTACTTTCAAATGTGAATCAAACATATCAACTATTGGGAAATAAAATATACGAAAGTTTATATAGTAAGATGTATGTTTTGGATAGAGGCATTGAAGCAATTTTAAAAGTACTTTATCGATTTGTAAATTAAATAAGACATTTACATGAAACAACGGCTCATTAGAATTTTACCAAGAACTTGGTCTACAAGAAATTGGAACATAAAATACTAAAAAATCATTCATCTTTATACGACATTATTCACACGGAAACGAAACAAAATCCAAGACTGATTGGTTTCCACAAAAGTGTTTTATTGTTCATCAGTTTAGATTTCCTTCGCATAGCAAAGCATTCATCGTCAGAATCACTAAATGTAACTTCCGCACTTGAAATGTATTGATCCTGAACTATCGTGTCTAAACCACCTAAATTTGTTAATCCAATTAACAAAAACCTGGATAATTACGAACCAAACATCAGATACTGAAGCAACGACTCATCAGAATTTTATTAGGAATGTGTTCAGTAACAAATTGGAAACAATTAATACTTAAATACATTATTGCGTCTTCGTTCAGACGATAACAAAACAACTTCAAGACTGATTCATATTCACAAACCAACATTTCATCAGATTCCAAACATGTCTACCTTTTCTCCCCCACCACATCACCTCTGCTTGGGAACGCAAACACCCGACTTCAGTCGCTACGTGGTGATCGCGCGGGAGTGAACAGCGGTGAACAGACAGATCGAAAAAAAAAACAGGAGCCAGGCAGTGCCCGGTCGGTGCGAAAGAGAGAAAGAGTGAAAGAGAGAGTGAGTGCGCCGAGGAGAAGTGCTGGCCGGAGGCGGAGGCACTCACTGTTCTTCTTGTAGAGCAGGATCTCGAACTGGTCGTGGATCTGGTTCTCCAGGCACTCGTCCACGCGCGCGATCGTCTCCTTGTCCGTGAGCTCCCCATACATGAAGCTACAGCGGCACGACTTCTGCATGACCTGCCGCACACACACACAAAGCAACGGACAACGTTAGATAGCTTGGTGAAGGTTGGGGGACGCTTAAGTTAGTGGTGTCCAACTGACAGCGCGCGAAAGGTTATATTTAGACAGAAGTGAAATTCCTTTGAATTCATGCCGAGAGAGACCATTGTGCGTCAAGCACAAAAATGTTTTTGTTTAGATTTAAACCTTTTTTTTCTAGTCAACTGAGAAATTTAAAATCAACCAAATGTATATGAGTGGTACGGCCTGATATCACGCATTGTTCCATCCCCTAGAGTAGCCGAACAAACTCCGGAGATCAACAATTCGGGAAAATCAGGCGTGGATCGTTCAAGTATTGACAATATGGCGCGTAGCCATATTAAGGTTTCAGTTGTGGCCCTTGCGGCCTTGCAAGTTGGACACCGCGGACTTAAGCAAGGAGACAATCTGTCACAGTTATGGACGCAGGTCGAAATATGATCACATATTTTTCATACCTTCATATTTTAAATATATTCACTATTTATATGTGCTGGTAATAAATTGCCGCCGTAGTGCACTGACATTTTCTGAAAAAAAACTACCTACGTGCGGCCTCTTTGCCAGCTCAATGTTTACCAGCTTACAACCAATAGCGTAATTCAAACCACTCCCCCACTCACGCTGAATGCGTGATGAGAGTTCTGCCATGATCAGCCAATCCGTATCATTTGCAGCTTCGGATATAGAATGGATCGCGTATGAGGCTGCCATACCTAGTGGTTCAAACCTGATCGAAACTTTACATTTTTTAGGCCGAAAAAATAATTCTTACGAAAAAGGAAAAGCCAACTATCCCATGTTGAAGATTTACTGCACGTAAAACATCCTCCAGCCTAAAAGCTGCCTCTGAGCTAAATTCAAAACCGCATGTTTCGACCCCCCAAGTGACAGCTTCTTTCTCTGCTAGACGGTGAACGAATCATATCAAAGTTTGCGTATTGGAGCGTGATGGAGCGTGGTGGAGCGAGTTGGAGCGTGGTGGAGCGAGTTGGAGCGTGGTGGAGCGTGTTGGAGCGTGGTGGAGCGTAGCGGAATTTGAAAGGGCAGCCCGGATGGCGTGAGTCTCACCGCAGGGAGGAGCTCAGAACCCTCACCCATTCTTTCACAGAGCCTTTCAAAACTATCGGCGTGGCACCGGGAAGCTGGGCAAATGGGTGGGAGTTTCTAATTTCCCGTCAGCACTGTTATGTGTGGGACCCGATCCCGCCCGCGGGGGTGAACAACCCGTGTCGAGTACCTCCTACACCAGCGACCTTCATCTCACGGCCTCGTGGCTGCATGCGGCCCTTTTTTTGGGGCTGCCAGCAGACAAATCTCAATTGACACTTTTCGGGGCAACCAATTTTAATGACGCGACCAGACAAGCGGGGTCCAACAGACCCACGGGTGCCTGTCTCGGAGTTATTCTCAAGGGTGTGCGTTTTGAACATGACAATTGAAACAGAACGCTCTAATATAGTTGTTTAATATAATATAACATTTCTATATACTCTTATAAACAAGTTTTCCCTTCTTCCAGACTGTACACATTGTGACCCTGTTTATGCTCATTACAGACAGGATTTAAATAGATGCTACATGTCTTTGTAGGGCACAAAATACATCTTTTTTGACATTGTTATAATTTGTTGTGTTGTGGAAGCTCCTTCGTCCTCGAAAACGAGTGTGATTGACAGGCGAGACTTATTATTCAATTCTTTTTGACTGTCTTCTTACATTTTGTGTATGACCCCAATTCGTTGCAATGTCAACATAAAAAAATCGTATGATCTCATGTTTTTTAACATTTAGTCAGGGTCTGCAACATTCCTGTCACTGTGTAGTTTTCCCGAAAAACCTGTACCGCACACGACTTCAAAAACTCACTTTTCTTTCTCGGTTACATATTAACCCGCAGCAAGACTGTCAACGAAAGCGTCAAACTTAGAATCGCTCACATGTAGTGTTAGATAACATTCCGATGAAAAGATGGTACGCAACCCGACATAAGTCCATCCGCTGGTCACGAAACAGTCGTCAAGTAATCGTCCAAAATACAGAAAATGCAATATTTCACGCAGATTATGAGAGCTGGGTCCAATAAACACCACTTTTTCGACTGTGGCTGAAAAACGATGATGTTTTTTAAAAATTTATTATTCGATAACGCTTTCGTAAAATGGTTGCGGAAACATTTAAAAAAACACTATAAAGAACAAAGATACCAAAAAAATCATCTAACATCTTGGATACTTTTCACGGAAAATATGAAATGTTTTGCTTCTGGTCCAAAGGATCCCCATTGCCTGGACAAGGGTTAAATAAACATTAACCCATTAACCCCAAATTAATTTTACGCACAAAGCGCTCGCTCATGGGCGTCACGTCATGCGTGCTCTTGCGTGCACATCGTTGGAGGTCTCTGGTAGCACGAACCAGCTAGAGGGATTTTCCCAACCAGGTATTTCCCACCAGCAGGCCACCGCCCCACCCGGAACAAACTGTAAGCTCCCGACCGATCTCCCGTTGTAACATACTAAATGAGTTTTTAATGCAATTAGCATCAAATGATTGGGTAGAACAACCTCTACTAATATCCACATCTACGTTCACCACTAATATTATTTTTTAATCGTCTTATGGAAGATGGAATGTATAATAGAAATGACAATGAAACTTCTACGATAAGATGCCATGAAGAACTCACCTCGGCCCTATTGTAGCCCGAGATCTTGCAGAAGGATTCGTTGCAGTACACGATGGGGAAGTCCACGATTTGCGCGTTGGCCAGTAGGAAGCTGCTATCCGCTGCAACACACAAAAAGACTCTAATTAAAAATCGGTCCCTTGGACATTCATAAACGATACAAAATTGTACGTTTCACAAACAACTTTTCTAATAACGTTTGAGTTACTTTCCCCTTGATGGACACAAGTTGCGAGTGAGAATTATCAAAATTTAATGGAAAATTAGCCCAGCAAAACTTTCTAAGATTTATTTCAGGGAAGGTCACAGAAATTATGAATTTAATAAATATTTTAATCTTGAGTAAAAACAGAGTGATGACTTAATTGATATCAGGCTGTAAACAATGTGTCGCAATACACTGCAAGACATCTGTTTTAACCCAAGACATATACTGAATGATTTGTTTACCTACCCGTCTATGAGTGCATATCCACATACAAATATGTGCTGATATTTTTATTCTCAAGTTACATAGCTTTATGGTAGGAGCAATGTGAAATTTAAAGAGATACAGATTTTATGTCAAAAGAGAGAGTTGCATTGTAATATATAATTTGAAAACAATTAGCAGAAATTATTGGTCGGGTATGTTTCTTAGCGATAAAATATTATTATAACTTCAAATAATTAATTGAAATGCCAATAAGCGGTGAAAAATTAGTAGACAGTAGCAGCTAAATCCTGGTGAACAAACCCCCATAAATTATTTTCTAAAAGTAGCTTGCACATTGCTTAAGAATAAATAAAATGATCTTGTATAAGACTACAAGAAATTATGTATTTTAACAAAACCAGCTTTCATAAAACAGTATAAACATGGAAAACAGTTCTTTACATACAAATATTAGAAATTTGCTGTTTCATGACACAACACACATGAATATCTACTATTTAGTGTCGTGAGGCCTCCCTTTATGTCTTGCTGCTGCAAGACTTTTCTGCGTAAACAGCGGGGCAATGAGTATAATATTTCACTCAATATGCGTTGTATGAGAATAGGCTGAATAACGCAATCGGATACTTGCATTTAATTGTGAAACAAAATAGGAATTGTTTTCTTAATTTTGAACTTTTCTGATTTCCTTGGTATCTAACAAAACCATACACCTTTCTCATGACCAGTTGCGTCTATTTGGGAGTATATCGTTTTTAATAAATGGGATATTTCTTACTAGATAACCTAGTCTACTGAAGAGTATCACTACACCTAATCTTGTTGTGAGAAAAAAATGAATGTTTTAAAGAAGTACTTTGGTTGATTAGACGTGGCCAATACGCCCAATGTTACATAATTCCAAAAAGATGGTCAATACTTTCATCGCCAGTACATAGTTTCAGAAAATAAATGATTTTACATGATTTAGATTCAATGAATTATACATTTAATATTCGATGATAATGATAAACTAATTAAAATTCAGATCTATTAAAATTCAAAGTTCAATTATATCATTAATGCCATAAAAATAATATAAATAATTAATATAAGATTCACTGAAGAATGTAATTTTGGAGATGCACTCATAACATGACACAAAATGAAAGCTGAAAGCTACGCATGAATAATATGACATTTAAATAATCAGTCAGTATACCAGAATAAGTTTTGAATACATTTGTAATATTGTTAATTGAACTATGAATAATTTCCACTAAAACATATTAGTTCCACATATATTCATTGCATATCGAGCGATACAATAACATCGTGCGAAATAATAACCTCAAACAAATCCTACAGATTCTTAGGAAAACAGTTCTACATACGTAATGAAACATTTCGACATTGCAATACTACGATATAAAAACATGATAAAATGTGTCAAAAATTTATTTTAAGTTTGTTATTTTAAATTACCATGTATTATTTCACAAAGTCACTCAGATATATGCTGGCATTTAAACCGCTAATTAAATATCCATTAAAAATGCATTAACCCCTCTCGATAGAACGGATATTAAGGCGTCGTTGGAGCGGTGGTCGTGGAGTCGCCATGCTCGTTGGAAACGAGAATTAGTTAAGATATGTGTTTCGCCATAACGTGGCGGCTTCATTGTCTTTCAAGCATCATCTCGTATTTTATACGAGCCTCTTTCCGTCCAGAATCATTCCTCTTTTATTGCAATGATAATCTTCCTTAAAACAAAGGAATGCCACTCACTCACTACCACTCACGGTTGATTGATTGATTGAGTGATTGAGTTATTGAATACAAGTGATTCCGGGCGCGGCAACTGCTAAGATCTTTATTCAGGTACGTGTAGTGAATGTTGTTTCCTCGGAGGGTGGCTGCGATCTACCCTCGCTGAATGGCGAGATACGTTGCCGAACTACCGTGGACTAGCAGGGTTTCCCCCACCAGATATCTCCCACCAGCGGGGACGAGTTCTACGCTCCCGATTGGTCTCCTGGTAGTGTGGTAATGTAGTGCATACGGAGGAATGGAGTGAGCAAGGGGTGGGGATACGACAAGAAAAAGGAAGGAAAGATTGCGCGCAGTCCGTGGCCCGTTGGTTAGGGTACTGCTCCGACGTTTACCTGGTGTTGACTGGAGAAACAACAGAAAATTACCGACCAGAGCAGCCGGTCGCTAGAATTCTCCTTCGAGCAGCGACACAACTCAACGTAGCTATCTGGATATAGTCGAAAATCACGTCACCGCCGGGACTCGAACCCCAGGTCCTTCCGGTTAGAGGCAATGCAGTGACGTCAGTTGATGTCCTTGCCGCATCTCCCAGCTTGATTGATTTATTCACTAGTGTTTCCGGGAGTGTCAACTGCCCATGTCCCGTCAGTGAAGTGCTTGTTTATATCACGGGATATGGCACCGCTCGATAGCGGGTTAACAACGACGTCAAGGCTAACAGGGTTCTTCCCAACCAGGTATCTCCTACCAGCGGGGCATCGTTCCAGCGGGGACAAGCTATAAGCTCCTGATTGGTCTCGCGGTGTGTGGTAGTTTACCGCATGTATGTGTAGTGTATGTATATGTGAGGGGTGGGGTATAGGATATTGAAGGAAGGTTCGCGGTTACTGACTTGTACATTTTAAATTAGTGAGTGAAATAAATGAATAATTAAAGTTTCGCTCAAATGAAAACCAAAGTATATTTCTTATTGATCTCTCAACATGGGGTTAGTGAGTGTACATGTAAGTGAAAGTATGTGCAAGGAAGAGGATAGATAAAAAAAGAACGAAAGATCAGGTGTGGTCTCTGGCCCATTTGGGCCCGTTAGCCCATTAGAGCACTGTTCCGGCATTAACCTGATTTTGATCGGAGAAACCACGAAAAACTACTGAGCAGCCGACTGCTAGAATACTCCTCCAGACAGCGGCTAAATTCGCAGTAGCTGTCTAGTTAACGTCACAAATTCTTAGAACCTTGCGTTCAGAGGCTCAGCAGTGACACCAATTGTTCCCTGATCGCCCTAACCTGGTCGTGTTCTGGAAATACGAGAACATAAAGTTGAATGCATTTTTCCTCGCCCACGTCTAAATCTAAGAATAGTCATAATTTTTATCAGAAGGAGGAATTATCAGTTCAGTGGAAGGCGAATAACGTCTGCTAGCTCCTGCCTGGGAAAAGAGTGATTGCAAAAGTATAATAATGTTCCTTCGCCTACGTTAAGTAACGAGCAATCCACATACGAATGAGAATCATACGGATTTGTTTTCAATTTGAATTTGATTCAAATAGACTCATTGAAGAATAGATAGAAAATAATTTATATTTTTATAATCAATAAATCAAAACCACGTATTAAAACAACATAAACGTCTTTACTTTGTTTTAAAATGCGAACCCTCGTTACATCTCTCGTAACGTTTCCCCGCTATTCTTTCCGCCTGAGTGGTACTCTTCATTTCAATTCGCGACCGCCATTTGCAAGAGAGTGCGCGTGATGTTGTCTGGCAAACAACAGCGAGGCAAGCAGCAGACGCCAATGACAGTCGCCCCTGAAATATTCCACGCAGAAAAGAGGAAGACACAGGGTGAAAGCCTTTTTCCATCGCTAACATCCAGTAAAGAATAAGGCTTTTTCATTACCATATGGAATCAAAATTTGAACTTCTTACTTGGTTCACATTTATATACGAGAGAAGTCATTAAAAAACAAAGGTAAGTATTAAAGCTACTAAAAAAAAGTATTGGTATTGTGATGAGTTTTGTGGCTTCCATACAGCAGAAAACTGATGATGACGGCTAAACCATCAAAAGCTGCTCTTGTAACAAACAATATTATTGACAATGACAACTCATATTTTAACTCATTATGTCATACTAAAGAAATTCCAAACCCACGTCATACATACTGTTCCTCAATTACAAATTAGTATCCGCCTGATGGATAAGTCTCATGTCCACTCTCAGACTATCTTTTACTACCTGAACCATTGTAAGGTACTTCGCAACTTGCCCCTGCTGTCCTTTCTCTCCGAATGGAGACTTTCTTTCTTTCCAACTGCCATTTCCTAACCGGCATATGAAATCGAATTTTAACTTGAACACTTGGCTTCGTCAGTGCGCTGAAGAAGCCTGCGACATGTCAGGTGAAACGTCGGCCTCTTACCCAACGACACGGCGTCACCCGGACAGAGAAGTATTCATGGAATCGAGCCTCGAAAGCTTACGTGTGCTAATTTGAACTTGTTACATCCTTCACATTTATAAGGACAGTCATTCATAAATGCTGATTATAATGTAAATATAAGAAACTTAACAAAGTCAATCCCATAAAAGAAAAATTGGTTGAAAATTAGTGTACATGGAGTGGAGAAGTCTTTTTATTCCCTGGTGTCTCGCCACGTGTCTCGCCCGCTGTCCTTTCTCGCAGAGTGGCGCACTTTATTCCAATTCGCGTCTGCTATTTGCCGGCAGAGAGCGCTGCTGCAGATCCCCGGAGCAGATACACTAGCAGCGCCTCCTCGGGGCTGCCCGGGTGCGGCAGCTGCGAATTGAGACCTAACACAACACGAGCCTCCCCCCGTCCGACGACGTCGCTTGCCTCGTGTGCTTTCTCTTTGCCTTTTGTCTCTTGCGGCGGGAGCGGCGACACA